ACCTTTTGCGGCTGCCATCATGAATGATCTAGCCGGCCTCAATTATGTCCCGTACATTGCTTCTCTGTGCGCGAAGGTCCGTGGCCACAGACCTAGACAGTTCTAGCCGTTCTCTTTACCAGAGCCAGCGCCGGAGACCGAATACCGAAGGTCCAAGAGCCACTTCCAGGAACCGATATCGATGGTGTAGTGTAAAAGCTTAACAAGGCTCACCAATCGCTAAAGTGTGTTGCAGAAACTAAGGCTAAAAACGGAATCACGGTCCTCGATGTCCTTCTATATGGACAAGCGGATGGTTCTATACAACTCACAACATTCAGAACGAAGACCTGGGCAGGACACTGCATTTTCGCAATTTTGTCTCCCTTAATTTCAAAAGAAACTTACACCTGCTTCTGGGATATAATGGCTGAACTAGACCTTTGAAGGAGAGGATAGGCAAACACACACATGCTTAGCTAGGCAAATGGGAAAATCGACCAATTTAAAGTTCAATACTTGCCCACTTACTTATTCGATACGCCCCAATAAGTTGACGCAAGTGAAGCCTTTCAAGACATCCACAATTCACCAGCACATTTCTCTAGAGGTTTACACAAATGGGTACTGCGCACAGCCGAGGCAGTGGCGACTCGGTTAGCGAGACCAGCGCTGTTTTCATAAGATGTTGATGTAGACAATTTGGCCTCCTCGACCGACTACAGGTGGTAACGGTAAGCCGCCACAAGCTCCGAAGAACAGCCAAACGCACACAGCTCAACCAAAACCTAACCTTTGTACCTCTTTTCACTCCCCATCACTCCAAACCCTAAGATCCTCAACATGCTGACTCTGGAAACGAGTAGATGGCTAGCAAACCAAAACACTTACGTAACTGGCTATTTCATTCATTATGTCAATGTATCGGCCTGACGAGGAAGGACGAAAGCAATTTTTTACCGAACCTACATTAAAATATTATTTATTATTATTTAATATTATTATTATTTGTGTATAGGCTAATAAGCCAGAAATGGCCATTCCGGTCTCCCTTTGCTTCGAGGGATCCATTTCATACAGAATTATATATGAAATGGATACGACAAAGCAACGGAAGACCGGAATGGTCATTTCTGGCTTGTTTGCGGTTATCAGCCAGTCGTAGCCAATCTCAAGGGTTGCAACCCCCAAGATTCGAACCCGGGACCTTTGATCATTGAGTTTACCATTCTACCACGGCACCACAGGCTCGTGGCTTTGAAAGGGGTGAACCGCATACGTGTACACGTCGAGGACGTTGAGGTTGGCATGGACGTAAAGAAGTAGTTTACCTGTACATGTCTCCGTATGTAACATCGAGCGGTTTGTTAATCACCACAACAGACATACGTACGCAGATTAATAAGTATAACGAGTCAACGATATATGTAATCTGTTACAGTAAAAGAATAGGTAAATGAGGAAAAGTAACGATACAAGAGGATATCAAGGTAATAACAAATGATGCATTTAGAATGACGGATGGTCACAGAATATGCGATATATGCCGGTGGGGAACACAGGGATTTGGGCAACGCAATGAACTATGTGTATTCTTTTGTAACGCCCGAGCGCCCTGTTGTCCTTTGGTAGCGTATCTTCTTCCTGAT